CAGTAGTTGCGTAGTCTATTTCATATTTGTGGGAAACCTCACTTCTCTCCGCTCTGTACCACATTGACAAAGTTCAATACGTGATCGTGTCTGCAAGCCAAACCAATGAGTCCGGTTTCATCACATCCCTTCCAAGTTGACTTTCCCCGTACATCTGATGCAGCCGTGTGAGAGGCCGTACATGGGTCCTAAAGTAAAATGAAAGCACCATTAGTCCTTCTATCAACTCAAGAGACCAGTGATCTATCTCGACCAAGCAGTGTGACCCTCATTCACATCAGGTGAACCCATTCACCTGATGTGATTCAAATTCACCCGACGTGATTATGAATCACCCAATGTGAATCAAAATCACCCAGTGTGATTTTATTTCACCTGATGTGATTCGAAATCACCCAGTGTGACTCCCATAGAGAGGTCAATTCTATCGCTCTGATGTGAGTTTGGTCAAATCCAAAGATTTCACATCACACCAGGTGAATTGTAATCACACCAGGTGATTGTAATCACACCAGGTGAATTGCAATCACACCAGGTGAATTGCAATCACACCAGGTGAATTGCAATCACACCAGGTGAATTCAAATCAGGCCCGGTGAATTCAAATCACGCCTCGTGAATTCAAATCACGCCTTGTGAATTCAAATCACGCCAGGTGAATGTAAATCACACCAGGTGAATGCAAATCACACCAGGTGAATGCAAATCACACCAGGTGAATTCAATTCACACCAGGTGATTTCAATTCACACCAGGTGATTTCAATTCACACCAGGTGATTTCAATTCACACCAGGTGATTTCAATTCACACCAGGTGATTTCAATTCACGCCAGGTGATTTCAATTCACACCAGGTGAATTCAATTCACACCAGGTGAATTCAATTCACAACAGGTGAATTCAATTCACACCAGGTGAATTGTAATCACACCAGGTGAATTCAAATCACACCAGGTGAATTCAAATCACACCAACCAATTTTGAAGAAAATACATATTCTACATACCACAGTTTGACGGCCTGGCCCCTTTTCAGGCACTCTGTGTTTCCACTCTTCCACCTTACTATTATCCAGGAAAAGAGGCGGAGTTTCCATTTCTGTTTCCTCGTACTTGCGGCTTGCAGCAAGGTGTCGGCGGTGTTGAAAGTTTCCATCGGTACAGACATGATAGTCTGTCTCGTCTGCCTGATCATTTTCTTGAAGTGGTCCAAAACATCTTGGGCAATTCATAGCCAGTTGATCCAAAGCTGTGAGATATAATGCGCATATTGTGAGTTGCTGCTCTTTGCGTAGCATGTTTCTATATGCATCAATGGCTGAAGAGAAAAGCCTGCGCCACTTTCAAGGCTGCAATGTCCATCATAAGTCAGAATCCGTGGACAAACATCTGATGATGATTTTCAACGAAACTTGCTTGATTTGTTTTTGCAACCAATATCAAAGGGCTGGCTGGGTCGAGAAACTCATCCAACCCAAGAGTAAATCCCTGGGTTCTGACCGTACAATACTTCCACAATTCATGGTGCAACCTCAGTAGCCTGATAGAAAATGCTACTTGAGGATGCACTGGGGACCCTCCGATGTAACCCATACGGATCAGACAAACTTGATCTAATGTACATTTACAAAACCGGATTTCTTCTTGCCTACGTTCTGACATGCAATCCCATTTCATGACATTAATATTAATGTCATGAAACGCATTCCTAACAACAAATAGTCACCTAAAATATCTACCATGTCAACCTTACGAATCTTCAGGTCTCCTCCCCCACACGCACAGACTGCATTGTTGTAGTCGTGGTTCCAGCGGGTTCTGTTCCCCCATTGCGACGTCTCCTGGCACAAGGTCATGTAGGAGAGAAACATAGCAGGTAAGGCCTTCTGCCAATTTTTCTTCTCTGCCAACCGTTTGCTTTTGTAATAAGACCCTTGAACATATTCAGCAAATGGCACATCCATCCGCGGAACCCCTTCAGGATTCTCTGGATGGGGATGCGGAAGGAACTCCTCGACGTGATTATAAAGCCCGTTGTCGTTATCAGCGTTTGTAGTTTCATTTGCCGCAGTAGGCTCGATGTCGCCGCCCTCAACTTGATTTGCCTGACCGTTGGAAGCGTCATTAAGTGCACTCTCAATTTCTTTGATGCGTTTATTGATGTATTTCGCTTCATTAGCATCGAGTTCTTCGGCCAGGATGGCAGAGCCTTGAGCTTCGCGCTGAGTACGACGTTTCTTATGGGATGGACCACCCAGTGGACAGTCGATTTTGTTCCCTTTAGCCATGGTTGGTACGTCTTAAGATAGTAAAATGTTGCGGTTTAAAACCATGATATGTGAAAAAGAACGATCACAGGTTGGTTGTTACCTCAATTGCAAATACTCAAAACGGATGGGGCAACTTCACCCCTGTCTACCAAAAGGAGCTAAATGGCTAAAGATACAGCCCCTATATAAAAATGTCAAAGCTCCCTCTCTCTGATTTATGAGCCAAGCCACAATACTTTCGTAGCTCATCAGTGGCATATCCTTACAAAAGGTCAGTGATGAATACAGTTGACAATACACCTTGATTGTTGTGCGACAAGATTCAAAGTCTGATTTGATAGACGTTGGATATTTCAAATAATTTCTCACATTCCCACTAATTCAAAATACAGTCTCGCTCTGGTAAGTTCACTGACTCGATCCTTCTCCTGACCTGCCTGCCCTCACTATTGTTATCGCGTACTGATTTATGATCACTTCCATCAATATTCTACGATTGATAATCCTCATCCTTACAAGATGCCAAGAAACACAAGATCTCAAACCCTAAAGGGTTCCACCACAAACCCTTCGACTGTAACCAACTCCCGCGCTAAACTTCGAAAGCTGGCCACTGGTTCCAATGGCAGTCGAGCTCCCCAACGCCGTGTCTCAGCCTCACGTCAAGCAGAAAACATAGAAGACGATGATGAAAGCGAAGATGAATACGAAACAGAAGATGATGAAGATATCGAAGATGAATTTATCGATTTGCAACTTCGACCCACTTGACACAAAAGAACCCGAGTGAACTCGGATGAAGAAAGTGATGATGCTGAGTTACTTGAACGACTTGCAAGACAAATCAACTCGGATGACGATCACCGTAATACAAGACTTTCAAAAACTATTGCAACCCAACAGACCGGTGAGACTGCTCATCTCGATGAATCGGAAACACCCTTACCTACCAATAAGGAATACAAGAACCTGCTGAACGAGTGGCCACTTGGTCGCATTGCAGAAGTCGAACGATCTCAGAAGAAGAAAGGAACCACTGTTCCTCCGCATATCTTGACGGAAGCGAAGGCGATTCGAAAGATTTACAAACATCAGAAGGCGATGCTGACCATCATGGGCAATATAAGTATGTTCACTCTTCAAAAAGCTTTGTAAGTAATCATACCTATTACTTCAAGGCCGTTGCTATTTGCAGCCCACAAGAAAACCATGTAGGCGCTGGCCAAATTACGCCTACATGGGTGTTTCCCACGAAGAAGCGCCTACATTTATGATGTAGGCGCTGGAAACCATCCAAAATGACGCCTACATGTCAAAAAACCCATGTAGGCGTCATTTGGTTACGCCTACATTCAAAAAATGAAATGTAGGCGTAATTTTCAAGCACCTACATATCTCATTTGAAATGTAGGCGCTATTTTTGAGCGCCTACATTCAATTTTCAGCTCAAATAAGCGCCTACATGCAGTCCTGCATATGTAGGCGCTACAAATCCGGCAACTACAACTCCAGACTGGTCTGAAGGGTAATGAAGAACAATTTTCAAGTCAAAATGAGAGTATTAGAAGACGGAAAAAGCAGTTTGGACTCAAAATGAGTGTATCGGAAGACGGATAAAGCAGTTTGGAGTTGAAATCAGTGTATCGGAAGACGGAAAAGTAACTCCGGAGTCAAAATGAGTGTATCAGAAGACAGAAAAAGTAGTAAACTATTTCAACTCTGAACTCAGTTTGGAGTCAAAATGAGTGTATCAGAAGCGGAAAAAGAAGTAGATTATTTCAACTCTGAACTGCTATTTACGTCTTCTGATACACTCACTTCAGAGTTGAAAAGAGCATATTCATCTTCCAATATGCTTAACTGCTTTTTCCGTCTTCCAAAACACTCATTTAAACTCCAAGCTGGGTTTGCGCTACGTGCAGGTATGTCAGGTAGATGTCCGCTACGCTGCCGTCTGTGAGCTCTTTACTCTCA